TCTAGAACCATGAAAGTTGGTACAAAGTTTTCTTATATAACGCACATAAGTCAACACTGAATAGGACTTTTCGGAAATTCATCTCCTAAGGATCGTAATAGGGGATAAAAGTTTCTATGAAACTTTGCTAATTTTGAGGACAGAAATATATTATGAAAATTAGAGATGAGCTTACTTGTGAAAAAAAAACTTTGTGGAAATTCATCCTCTAAGGGATTAAGGATGAAATTAAGGATAAATAAATAAATAATAATAAATAATAAATTAAGGATAAGGGATGAAATTTTGTGCGAAACTTCGAACTTCGAAATATACAGAAATAAAAACGAACTTTGTTAAAATAAAATCTGTAAAGATTCAGAAAAAAAATGTCGTTACTTAAATCTAGTAGGCACGTCCATTTAAAGAAAAAATAACTGTTTAGCTAGTTAGCACCAACTCCAACCCAATGGTTTAATGGCCACTTCTATCTATTTATGTTTGTTGTCATTGTTTTTGACGTGACAACGTCTTAAATTAGGTTGCGGCTGGGAGTCACTTATGAAAAAGTGTAACGCTCGGTAACGTTACGATGAGTCTCTCGTGTTAAGTTTAAGTTTACATGTACAATGTTTTAGTAAACAAAATATATTTCTATAGTTAAAATTTGTGCAATTCTTATTTTCATTCAATTCCTTGTTCCTATTGTGCAATTTAATTATATTCATATCAATAAATATTCTACCGAGAAAAAGACGTTGTCACGTAAAATCTTCGCCCGTAAAACCGACTTTACAGGCAACCATTTTTTGTTATCAATTCAATTCATTTATTTCAGCTATTTAGCCATATAAATTACAGAAAAACAAAATAATAATAATAGCAGCATACAAATTCAAAATTAAATAACAAAGTTATTAAAATAAATACAAAATTACAAATTTCAACAAAAACAAAGTTAATTAATTAACTCTAATTTTTTTAACCAGTGAACGTTTTGTTAAAGCAATATAAGTATACTATGTAGTAGTAAATAAATAAATAAACTTTAATTAATAACAATAAGCTCATCTACCAATATTCACATTTCTATCTACAAAATTGACAAAGTTTCAACTTTCATCAAGTATTTTCCCACAACCCTAGTCATTAATTATTATAAGTTCTTCTTAATATCCTTCCTACTAAACCTGGTCAGTCAATTTATTAAAATTTAATTAATACTCGTTCACAAAGTTTTTTATAATATTCTATATACATATTACAGTAATTTAACCTATCTAACAGCGTATGCGATATGTATCAGATTGTAAGGTACAGTGCAGTTGTTCGCTGTGATGTCGCTGTTACCCCAATGTGATGATACAATACATAGGCGCGGTGCTACACGTTTCGGTAACATATTATTCGTCACTATTCCTATTATCCTTCTAAAGGGTACACGCCCGACGCACGACACAATCACGCAACCAATTCTCTCCATTGCACTAGCGGCTAATGGGACGTAAACATATTTCTAAAGAGTGTGTCAACTTATTTAAGTGATTGGTAATTACTAGATGCATCCGACTTCGTCTTCTATACAAACTTTAGACTATCTTTACAAACTTTCACCACCTTTTTTATACCTTTCAAGTTATGTTGTCGTGATAAAATGTCCTACTCCATGATTCTGTTATTTATGACTATGACGACCTCCGTGGCCGAGTGGTTTGTACGCCGGGTTTCATGGCTGTCGCCGACCCGAGAGGTCCCGGGTTCGAATCCCGGTGGGGGCAGATGTTTGTGTGATGAATACGAGCATTTGTACTCCTGTCATGGATGTTTAATATGTATTTATATAAATATACTTATATTATGTACAGTATATGTATTCTATCCGTTACCCTAGCATCCCATAACACAAGCCTTATAGTACTTACTTTGGGGCTAGGCTAGTTGGTGTGAGTGTCGGAAATATTTATTTATTTTATTTAGATTTATTTCATACTATTACTAAAATCCATTAATGCATTCATGGTTTGGTTGAAAAAGCGTAAAGACAAACTAGGCTTTCCATTTTATTATTCTAATGTATAAAGATTAGATTTTTGTATGTTTAAATATTTTTCTTTGGTTTTTTTTTAATGAATCCATCCAATCATCTTCAGTTATCCTTCGTTTTAAAGCTAAAGAGCATACCTAATATAAATTACCAAAGTAGCACGCTCGACCCGCATACAGAAACTAATCTAACTACTGGAGCCAATCTGAGCCTACTTACGAATTGATTATTCTGATCATCAACCTTATGTACCTTATAATACTTACATAGATCGATAGCGTCGAACGCTTATCAGTTTATCTTTAACCCCCCGACGGAAAAAGGGGGTGGTTATAACTTTGGCGTGTCTTTACGCCTGTGTGTATCTATCTGCCTGTGGCATCATAGCTCCGACGACGAATGAACCGATTTGAATTTTTCATTTAAATGTTGACATGATCGAGATGGTTGTAAGCTATATTTTTTGAAAATCTGTTTAGGGTTTCGGAGATCATCAGCTCATTTCTCATTTGAGGAAAGGTTCTTACAAAAAAAACAGTTAGTTTTGATTAACATTTTGGTGAACTTTAGCAGCATTTCCAAAATATGGTAACATCAAGGTGGTGGAACAGCATCAAGTAAAAAATTTATTACAAAATGGGAAAAGGTAAAAAATTAAATATGTTACCACTAAGTAATAATCAGCACAAAGCATCGTCAAGTCGGGAACCGCAATTGGAGTTGCCACCTAACAAAAACGTTTTTCCACTTCTCATATTGAGCATCAATAATGAAAATACCTACTTCTTTAGCGGATCGCGCCGACTTGGCAATGCTTCTAGGGCCTGCACGATAGATATTTGCCACTAGCTAATAACTTTGTTTGGTTTGTACTGACCGTGCTTTACTTTCAGCAAGTCTTACTGAAAGTAAGTAATTGTTACTGAAAGTAGAGCACGGACCAATCCCACCAACCACCCATGGCCTGGCGAACCTTCTTGGTTATGCAGGCCGAAGCAGCGGGAGATACGCGCGGATGGCCTCCACCGCGCGTACTTTCTTGACTCCCTACAAATTATTCTTTATCTATCTCGTTGTCCCTATGGTCCCCCTCCCCTTCCTGGGGCGGACGTACACGAAACGCCTTCGTCGCAATCCCAGTGGTCCCGTGCCCACTCTGAAGTGGTACCGCTGGCTCCAAATTGTACGGTCCTCTCTTCTTTAGACTGCTTTAGTAGAGCACGGACAGTCAAAAGCATTTTAGCGAGCCTATGACCTACAAAGCCGAGAGCCTGGCCTCCCAACTCGATATATTTACTGTTTGTTTTCCAAGACCACCAGCGATAACAATAAGGGTTTCTTTACTGATTTATATTATTTTAAAAATAATAATCAATTGCCAAATGTATGATGTAGCCTCATTGAGAACCATCTTCCAGCACATATCTTGTTTACTGCGGTTGTGAGTAGGGTTCCCACCCGTACTTTATTGTAAAGTATTGTACGTTATTTCGGGTAATTGTACTCTATACTTTATGCCAACAATAAAGTACGCGAAAATACTTTATTTAATGTGATTTCATTACTCGGGAATTAATTTTCCATAAAATATACAAAAAGAAGAAGATTTTTTGCGTAAAACGGACAGACAGTATGAATATATCGCCCTTAGCTAATTCCTGCAACATTTTCGTGGCTGTACGGCTTCGTAATATGACCTTTCCCATTACGTAAAAGAACTACAGTTTTTTAGTAGGCACAAACTATTAATTAAAAGTTGCTAGTAACAACATAAAATATATTTTTAAGCTTACTAATAAAGAGGAATAAACAGTACTTTATTTTGTTCACAATGTACTTTTTTTCTACCTTTAATATCCAATGTACTTTATTTGGATAAAACAACAAGTAATCTGGACAAAACTAGTATGTTTTTTACGTTAAAATCTTTATTTAATAACCTACATATATTGGTGATAGTATTTTCAATGATTGCAAACGTAAAACCTTACAAGAAATCACGCATTTTACAAAAAGTTACTAGGAATTCTGCTCCGCTGCGTGAGCAGCACATACATTCTGAGTTTTGTGTATCGTCTAATGGTTGAATTGAAGGAACCTTAAGGATAAAATTCCAAAACTAGCCAACTCAGGGTGGCTATTGTAGGAGAATAGACAACTCGTGAGATTAGGCTGAGCCAAAGATTGTATACGCAGATTCCAGTCGAAGGCGAACACGTCATGGTTGCTTTCCGATGTACGTACGTACACGTACCTATACTCTCAATGAAACCAAACGTGTTGTTTGATGAAAATTATGCAGGAAAAGTTTAAGGAATTAACTTTCAAGATTTTGGAGCTATACGACCAAGAAAGTAATGTAATGACATATTATTTATTAGGTCAGCTTTATTACGAACTACATAAACAACTAGGTAAGGTACCTCTATTTGTATATCAAGTTATTTAGATAGACGTTGAAAACCAAATAGTTCAACGCAAGTTCAAAGGTACAAAGTTGCATCCGATATGCAACTGAATAACTCCCATTTAATTAGCTACATTTCGATATCAAAATAATGATTTGTTAATAAAGTTACGTGAATAGTATAGTAAACTTCATTCCCACAATAACTAACGAGTGTGTCTCAACAAGGGTTGCCAACACTACTATATAATATAGTAAGTATCCTGCTACATATATCAGGGCATCAAATACTGTATTTCTAAAAAAAATATAGTAGGCGAAACTTAAAGTTCGCTTTAAGTAAACTTCTGCTAAAAGAAGGTTTCTTAAAAACTGAATTATCGAGGTAAAGCAGTTTTTCAGGTCAGCAGGTAATTATAACTGAAATATGTACATACTATATTTTTTCCATTTTTTTTGCCTTCTACTATATTTTTGAGGTAACAGCTTCGAAAATACTATATTTGATAGAAAAAAATATTGGTAACCCTAGTCTCAACTAACACCTAATTAAACGAATGAAAAGCTTACATCTTTATCCCACTGCAGGTGATAAGGTATTTCATTGCCGAAAGGGAAGTCGAGATGGCAGTTCATGACGGCGTACCCGCCCACGCTGGCGCGCAGCCGCTCCACCTCGAGGGGGAGCAGCGAGCCGCTCGACGGAGCGCTCCAGGCGCAGGCCCACGCCGCCCACATCCACCAGCGCGTTCTCACGCACGAGACACCGGGCTGCATCGCGCACGTCACCAGACAAACGCGCGAACACGACAGGACGCCGTAGAGCACTGTGGAGATTGACCGCAACGAGCACTAATCGGGTTAACCTCAGTGGCGTCGACGGGAGCGCACGCGCACATCACACACTGAGAGTGCGGTGAGGTGAGGAACGCAACACACAGACGGCCCACACAGGTGGCACGCGCCCGCACCTCGCTCGCTGCACCAGGAAGCCCCCGCCTCCTCCTACGCTGCCTATTGCGTCTTTTATTCTTAGTTTAATCACTGCTAACTTCTGCAGCTTCCGTGTGGCTATTCTTTCGATACGCAAATAGACAAGTGCCCCTTATCAACTCTTAAGACGTGAGTGCTTACTTCGGACTGTCTCGTATGGTATTGTATCGGTATACCTACATGGAACTCTATACAGCTGATATTGAAATAGATTAAGCAAACTATAATCTTCCAATCAGGTTGACAAAATTCTCATTGGAATAAATGAGAACATTGGCATAGTGAATATTGTGCCACAGTAGGAATCAATGGAAGAGATGTCGAGCAAAGCGTTAACGCCCGACCCGGGGAACTACCTCCAGGGGCGTCTTTCCTATAGGAGCGTTGGGTGCGGCCGCACCCGGGTGCCGGGCCGGACGATCAACATCTGAATGAATCTGGTGGTAGTTAGTACCTACCTGCTTACCAAACTACAATATTTTTATTAATATGTATTACTTTAAATAAATGTTTTAAAACAAAATTAAAACTAACGATTTAAGTACATTCAGTTAATTTTAATGATTGTGTACGTTTTTCTAGTCAACTCGGTCAAACTCAAAGAAAGTGTTTGTGTCTACTCGCGCGCTGCCTACCGCACCAATGTGCCGATTGTGTTCATTTGTCTAGAAAGGAGATTGCTCAGCTTCCATACATGTTTGGCCTAAAGACCAATAATCATGAAAAATTGTTTCCTAGATTCGAAATTATATATAAATTACTGTAGAAACGAATATTATTGACGGACATCCAGGGCCGGATTTAGGATTGTGGAGGCCCCGGGCCACTTAGGATTTGTATGCTTGTTAACCCATCGAAATTTTGTTATCTTTTATCCTGTTGTGGAGGCCCCGGGACACTTAGGATTTGTATGCTTGTTAACCCATCGAAATTTTGTTATCTTTTATCCTGTTGTGGAGGCCCCGGGACACTTAGGATTTGTATGCTTGTTAACCCATCGAAATTTTGTTATCTTTTATCCTGTTGTGGAGGCCCCGGGACACTTAGGATTTGCATGCTTGTTGACCCATCGAAATTTTGTTATTTCTTAAACTGTTGTGGAGGCCCTTGGGTCACAGCCCCACCTGCCCTGCCTTTAATTCGGCCCTGAGATTAATATAATCAAATTATCATGTATGTTAGATGTACAAAGTACTGTAGGTTGTAGGTAAAAGAGCAAAAAAAAATATCAGAGGAAAAGATGTTTACTAGTGTTTACTAGTTGGAATTTAAAAGATTTTTTTTTCTGAAGTCTCTATTGTGGGGGCCCCGGGGCTTTCGCCCCGGTTGCACTCCCCTAAATCCGGCAGTGCGGATACCCCTGAGAACTTCTATAAACCATATACACTGAACATATTAAAATAATAAAAAACAAATAAGTCATATACCTAGTAATAACTAGGGAAATCAAGCCAAGTACCGAAATTATGGATTAGATTCAGGTAGGTATATAGAGCATGTAGATTAACAGATAGTTGCCTGTTTTTAAAGTTAATGCATAAGAGTAACTTTTAAAATCAGATGTCATTTCCGGTTATAATAAGGTACTCTGTGACAGAAACTGTGTGATGATTGTGAATGAGCCACAGATTAGAGAGAATTTTTAAACTCTCGTTAACCAAAGAAAGCTAAGAGATTTGGGTTCTATAGCCATATATTCAGTAGCTTCATTATTTTTGTTATGTTTTTAAGATAACCATATTTTATATTTTTAGTGTATCACACCTTATTATAATTTTATTTATTTAATTTATAGTCAGGGAACGTAGGCCCATAGATAGATACCTTAAAGTCTAAACAGATTATAATGTGTTTATGGAGGTGTTTGGCGAAAAATGATTATGATGTCGCCTACCATCTATAATAATTGTCTGAGCACATTTGCATCTAGTGAAAATGATAATATAGTTGTGGATGTTATTACCACAGTGTAATAAAAAAAATGATTTATTTCATCGATCTTTACAAAATAGATTTGTTTTTATGTTATATATACAACTTCGATCAGTCTTTGGCTGAATGTTACTACATCCATAGCCATTAAAAATGACTCGCAAGTTTTTCCAAACCGGTAAAATTAAAAGTCCTTTTTAAAGTAAATATTATTATACAAAGGTGTCCGTTGAAATCTAATGACTGTAAATTAAATTATAAATTACGCCAAGAATAACCGTGTATGTTAATATTTTTTGTGCATTTGGGCCAATTTGAGCAATCTCTTTTAGAAGGACACGAGAAAAGTTCAAGTTACATAAATGGTGTTAAAAAAGCGGCGGTAGGTTTCGATTCCCGTGCGAGTTTCGAAATTTGCGGCATAAACGGCTGTATCCTTTGATTGCTTTGGCTTAGAAGTTTGATTTTTTCACAGCTCCAAGGGACAGTAGACCTAAGTATTAGATATGAATTTCAGTTTGATACCTCCACGCGTTCCTGAGAAAAACGGGCTTTACAGACGGACGGACGGATGTGTTCCGTTTTTTCCTTTTGAGGTACGGAACCCTAAAAAACATAGAAAAATAATTTAGTGAAGGGCCGCCCAGTAGACTCTGTCATTCAAGATGAAAAAGAACGTGAAAAGAAGAGGTGGACTGCAATTTTGGACAGAATAATTAGTTAAAAAGCTTGTCGCGAGATTTAAGAACTCGTAGGGTCAGTTCGCCTGTTCGCGTCCATTTAGTGCAGTTGGAAAATTTGACGGCGATAATAAAAATATCCCAGCACTAATTTCTATGAAAAATTTATGTAATCTGTTTATTATATAGTCTATTTCAAGATTAACTTTCAGTTTTGTTCGAAACATCTATTGTTTTTTATTTAAATGGATAAACTTCAGATTTAGGCGTTTTACCCACTTTGCGTCCACAAAATCCAAATTGCGTCCACCCGTGGACCATTTAGCGTCCACCACCTTAGAAAAGCAATATAGGGGTGATATTTTTAAGAATTTGTATAGAAAGATTGTACCTATTTTAACAATTTCTTTATTTTAGAATATAAATATTAAAACCAACATTATTATCATTAAAATCATCACCTTTAAAAATAAAAAATATTCTTCTCAATATTGATTGAATTTAAAATTATATAAGTAGTAGGTAAATAATGATTGCAACTTTAAGAATAAACAGTAATCAGTTCTGTTAATTTTACCCTAAAATCACAAGGTATGTTTTTCTCATTGTCGTCTTCTACATCTGAAATTAGTATATAGTCACATTCAGAAAATTTTCTTTCTTAAATTCCTGATTTACCATTTCCTGTGTGACTTCTTGAAGAGCATGTTTCTTTTTCTTTCATTTTGGAGCAGTTTTACGAAGCGTTTGAGAGTGTTTTAAACTCTGTTCTTGTTTCTCTATTCGTTCTAACTTTGTTTTTCGTATGGCTTCCTGCTTTTCGTTGTTGATCTGCTCTTAATCTTCTTAATACTTACTCCATGCAGCAGAACATATGGTTGCTAGAGTCCTTTGATTATCTATTCGTGCTTTGTTAGAAATTTCGGGTAGCATCAGGTGGTGTCTGGTCCCGGTTTCTTTACTTTATTTGGTCTGCGCCCACTGATTTTGTACAATATTGTGGTCTTGGGAATAGCATATTCTTTGCATATGTGTCTTATCGATTTATTCTTTTCTCGAATTTCATTTACCACTTTCTTTAAATCATCTTCTGCGTATATTCTCTTTTCCTTCTACTTTCTTGTCTCCGAAGAACTCATCTCAAATAGAAAAAAATAAGAATGAAACAAATAAAGTATTTGATTGATTGAAATTACTCATTTCATTTAAAAATAGCATTAAAACACGTAGTATTAATAAAAATGTGTAATAATAATAATCAATACCTATATTTTAAATTATAATTAATTAATTGTATTTAACGAAAATAGTGGACGCAATTTGGTTTATTATTATCCCCTGTACGTATAGTTTGCGTCAATTGCGGACGCAAATTGGAAGTTTTGTAATTTCGATGTAGCAATTCGCGTCCACCTTATTTTATTCATTAAATATAAAAAACATAAGAAATTTTATAATTAATATTAATCCTTTCTTCACTATAAAAGTCTAGAAACAGCTACGTATCCTAAAATTAACATAAAAAAATTAAAAAACTTACCATCGAACGCGCCGCTGCACAATATTTTTTATCTAAACATCCCGCGTGTACGCACTCCCTTGAGGAATAACCGAGACTAACTATTTTTTTTAAACGGGATTGTTTGGCGCACTTACCTTTTGACCATGTGTTCGTGCCTCTTATATATTAAGGTATTAGCGGTAATTACTTTTCGTTTGATTGGTGTGTTAGCTTACTTATTTTTGAGGAATTTTTAAGGGAGATCCGTAAAATGGACGCGAATTGGGCGATGGACGCGAACAGGCGAACTGACCCTATTTACTTGCTGCCTATTAACATTTTAAAACTAAGAAAGTAAATACGAGTACTTAAATCTCGCGACAAGCTTTTATAACATATAAATTGTGTCAAATGTGTTAAATTTGAAATGACGTTATAAGTTCACAGTAAAAGTTTTAGTGTAAAAGTTATTTTTTTTCTTTGTAGCGCATTTAAATAAAAGCTTGTTTTTGAAAAGTGTTTTTTTACCATAATTTAATTTTTTACTTTTGAATTTGCCATCAGTATTTTTTATTCTAGTAGACCTATAGTAATACTAACTTACCCCTCTACCTACTCTACCGACCCCTCTGGGAGACAGGCGTGACATACTACGATACAAACACACATACTTACATACATATACTATAATACACACACCAACGATATTAAATACCCTAGATACACCACTAGCGCTCAAAATGTGTCCCAATCAAGAAGTGCTTGAACTCCACTCAAGCACTTCTTGGTTCAC